GTGGCTGCTTTGTTTCCCCGATGTATAACTGGTCGCAGTCCTCCTGGCTCTTAACAGCATATACAACATTGCTCTGGAAGCAGTGCTTAAAAGCCTGAATTTTGCCTGAAACTCTCAGACTGAAGAAGTCTCTTGGAGGAGAGACGAAACGTTTCATTAGAGAAGAACCCGTCCAGAAGATCTATACAATTTTTTTCTTTTTGATACACTTAGTTCTTATTAGTGTTTGAAAGAGGACGTGTTAAAACTCTGTTTAGTCAAAATTAAACATGAAACATCAAAGTTCATTACAAGAGGCCCTTCGAGGGCCACCATAAGGCTCARGTGGCCCTCAGTGAAAATGAGTTTGACACCCCTGATTTAGAGAAAAGAGTCTACTGGATGATAAAACTTCAAGGTTTTTTTCTATTTCCTTTTTTACCTGAATGGCTGAAACTAAGTACTGATGATCTGCCCACAGYGTGAGGGACACTCTGGCTTGATGTCCTGATTAGAGATGAACCAAAGTGAGACTTGACAYCAGAGATGAGGTGTTAAAGGTGTTTTGGGTACATCCCACTGGTAGGAGGCCCTGYGAAGACTGGGTTCCCCAGGATGAGATGGAAAGTCTTGCTGGGGAAAGATGTCTTGGTTTCTCTCATAGACCCATTGTCTCCACTACCTGACCACAGATAAGCAGAAGATGGAGACTTGTGACCATAAAATTATATTTCTAATTTTTTGGGACACAGGGAGTTGAGATTATTCGAGGCTGTCGTGGTCTGAACCTTGTTGGATGTGATTTAGTGGAGGTTTCTCCACCCTATGACACCACAGGTACTTCTTACATTGCATATTTACTATTATACAATCTTTTTTTTATATTATAACTTTGCTGTTTGCTTTTGTCCCTTTTAAACAGGAAACACTTCGCTGACTGGGGCCAACCTCCTCTTTGAAATGCTGTGTGTCCTGCCAAAAGTGAAATACTACTCATCTAAACAGACACAGAAGAAGTTTGACCTTTAATTGCGTAAAGATATCTACATGACAAGCTGTCCTCTATTTTGTAGTGATACAAGACAAATTTACAATTTTTATACTCTATTCAACTAAGATGAAGAAATTTTGTACAATCATTAAGTATGAATACAGTAAATGTTAATTTTTTGCAGCTACAGATGTTAAACTGTTTTAGATTGTGCTTTAAATGATTGCAGAAGTATATTTGTAGTCTCTTCTGACAACGGAGTTAAAWTTTTCAAAATTTCATGTAAGTGGCATTTGAAATAAATATGTACAAGATGTGTCTGTAATTGTCACATTACAAMGACAGCCGGTGATTCTGTYCACAGCACAAGGTGACCTTTTTCCCACTTGAGCACCTGACCCCTAAAATGTGTGTGCACGTTACTGTGCAGTTKTGTTTATCAATGAGGTCCTTCTTTCTGTTTAAACTAAATTTGTATTAAATTCCAATGTCTGACCTGGTACCACCTCCAAGGGTGTGACCAGGAGGTCAGGTTTATGACTCATGGGGTTAATTTATCCTCAGTCTTCCTCTTAGATGAGCTGGGGACAGACGCTGGCTGCTTGTTATTGTTTAGGTTCTGATAAGAACTGCACACACAGACTGCTGCCTGTGGGCTTTAATGGACGCAGATTTCTAAATAAAACTTTCAAGAACAGAATCAACTGTTTTTCTGCTATTTTATTCATACTTCCAATCCTGAACACATTTTTTCTTACAATTTAGCCCAAAAGAAACAGTTTAATAAAAACGAGTTATTCACTGATGTTTAGCATTAAAGCTGGCAACAAGCAAACATCACAAGGATCATGGTGAGAAAGAGCATGTCAGGGCAATTCAACTGGTCTTTTGGTGCAACAATACATGTACCCGTGTCAAACTGTTCAACACAGTGCTTTAGGTTCAATACACACTTGTTTCGAAC